TTGACCCACTGGAGGAATGTATGGATTGTGATGAGAGATGGAGGAGCCACCAATAAAAGTATTTAAAATAAAATAAAATAAACTTTGGTCAATGAAAAAAGAAGAAGAAGAAGCTGTCAAAGGAGTGGATCGCCTTGCTAGGGAGTGTTTTAGGGAGACTCTACTCATAGCTGTCTGCTCCTCTGTCACAGCTTTCTCTTACACTCCACGCAGCTCACGAACGTGTCATCATCACTGGGCACTCTTCAGTCTCACCTTACTGCTATTCAGTAGAATGTTCTATGATGGAAATGTTCAATAGTTCATAGATATAGTTCATAGCCCAATAAAGTAGCCATTCACCTGCAGGTACTGAATGAATGACATGGTCAAAGCTAGGAAGAACCTTAGTTTTAATTTTCATTTTATTCGTGACTTTTACATTAATTAGAATTTTTAAAACTACCTGTAGCCGTGCGCTACCATGTTGGACAGCACAGTAAATTAGACCTCTTAGCTGCATTCAACACCAACAATCACCCTCTTGTTTTCTGGGACTCATAATTTTTGTTTCTTCCCCCCACTGCCTACATACATCCTGGTGGTGTAATGGTTATTTATTATTATTTTTATTTATTTATTAAAAAATTTTTTTGGTGTAGTGGTTATGAGTCGGGCTGCTAAACCACAAAGTCAGCAGTTCAAAACCAGCAGCCACTCTGCAGGAGAAAGATGGGACTTTCTACTCCCATAAAGCGTTCGGACTCAGAAACTCACAAGGGCAGTTCTGCCCTGGCCTAGAGGGGCGACTCCATGTCAGCGAGTCTGGTTTTGGTTGGTTTACATACATACACACACATAGAGATTTAAACTTTGTTGTGAATTAGGTGAAGGTTAATGAGCAGATGATGAGTTTCACATTCAACAATTGATACACATTTTGTGTCAACTCCTCCCTTACAATCCCCTAAGTGTACCATGGTTCCGCCCACGTTCTCCCTGCTTGTTTCCACTCCTCCTCCTTTCCCAGTGCTCTAAACTTTGCCCTTACATTCCCAGCATTGTATCTTCCACTTATTCCCTGGGCTTGTTTCCATTCTTTCTGCCCCAGTCTCTTCTTGTCACCGGAACTTTATCTTCCATACCAGTACTGCCCCTTTGATCTTGTATTGATCCTGATTGTCACTAGATGCATCTTCCTCCCTGGTACTATTGTTTACCTTCTAGGCCTCTCTCTATAAAGTTTGGCTGCAAGTTGAGTCAAAGCAGTGAATTCCTCTCCAGGCCGGAGGGGTGTTGAAGGGTCACCAGGTCTCTATCAGACCTGCAATTCCCTACTCCGTCTGCAGATTCATTTGTCCCTCACAAATGGAAACTTTAATTTGGGCTGTAAAAATCTGCCCTGCTACTCATCAGGCTGGAATAACAGACACAGATAAAGCTACCTATTTCACTGATGGGAAATAATATTTCCCCCCAAGACAGGCTGCCGCTAAAAAGAATCATATGCACTCCCTGCTTTCTTTGCTCCTTTCTTGCTCCCTAAGTGACTTTGTTTCTTAAAAATCCTTCATCTGGTGATGAATCCTGGGTTGTTTGCTCCTTTTGGCCGGTGTTGTTCACGATGTAATGACCATTGGTGTGCACCCAGCTCCCTGAGCCCCAGGGCTATGTGGCTGTTGTTAGATGCCGTGGAGCTGGTTCTGACTCAGCAACTCTGTACAGCAGCACAGACCACCTCCCCAACTGCACCCTCGCACAGTCGTTGTCATGTGGAGCCCATGGTGGCAGCCACGGTGCCATCGCACGGAGAGGCTTCCGCTTTTTCACTGCCCCTCTACTGGACTAAACATGACGTCCTTCTCCAGGGACTGGTCTCTCACGATGACATGTCCAACTTGTCAATTTCCACAAAAAACCCTTTGTTCAGATTTTGATTGAGATACATTGAACTTATAATTTGTATAAATTTTAACTTTATTTTTAGTCTTTCTACCCTCACTGTGTTCTATATTTTTATCCAGATATTATTTTATATCTTTCAATTAATTTAATTGGTTACACATACCAAACCCAAACCCAATTCCGACTATAGTAGCTAGAGAGGCCGGAATGAAACTGCTCCCAAGGGCTGCAGAGACTGTGAACTATTATGGAAGGAGATCGCTTTGTCTTACACCTGTACTGCTAACCTTTGGGTTAGCAGCCCAGCACTTAACCCACTGTGCCACTAAGGCTCCAGAATTGATTGCATTAAGATACATGACATGTATACATGATAAAGCATTCAAATTAATTTATACATTTCATTTTCAGCTTGTAACATTTTCTTGGGTTTAATCCTGTGTATTTTTTCACTTTTTTTTTCCTTATTGGACATGACTATTACACAGATACTAAATTGTAACATTTATGGGACTCTGTACTACAGATACACTAACATATATGTAAGCAAAGATATATGTACAAAGCTGTGCATTGTAACAGTCGAGCAAATTCTTAGAGCAAATAAAAGTAGCCCAAATGTTCATCAGTAGGGGGTTGATTCATTAAATTACAGTACATCCATACAATGAAATACTCTGTAGCAGTGGTTCTTAACTGTGGGTCGTGACCCCTTTGGGGAGTGATCGACCCTTTCACAGGGGGTCGCCCGATTGATAACAGTAGCAAAATGACAGCGATGAAGTAGGAACGAAAATAATTTTATGATGGGGGGTTCACCACAACATGATGCACTGGGTCATGGCATTAGGAAGGTTGAGAACCACTGCTCTGTAGCTTTAAAAGGAATGAACTAGATGTTTGCACAGAAAAATTTCCAAGATATTGAAGCCATATAATGTAAAGAAGCAAATTGTGGACAGTGTCTCAGTGCTGCCATTTGTGTTTTTGTGCCCGTGTGTGCGTAAACACTGCTAGAGGAATGCACATGGGATTGCTCCAGCACTTTTCCTCCTCCGGGGCACATGGCAAGCCTTCATCTCTGAACTGTCCTAGAAGTTGTGACCTCACCCACGGGGGAAGTGGGTAGAAGCACGGCCCGCGGGTCCAAGACAATGCAGTTCAAATGGGATCTGCCCCTCATCCAGTCTTTGTCACTAGACTCGGATTCCGGAGTGTTGAGCAGTGGGTCTGTGTTCCTCGCCTGGGATTTGGGCTGGGCTGTGACCGCTTTGACCAACAAAGTATGGAGGAAGTGATGGTTTCTGGGCTCCAGCCTTAGGAGAGTAGCAGCTTCTCCTTCCGGTCTGCTGAAACGCTTGTTTTGGGATGCTGCGTCTCAGAATCAGCCACCGTGCTCTGAGAAACATAAATCATCTGTAGCTCACAGGTAGATATTTTGGATGTTAGCCCTAATTGACCCCCCAAGCCAACACCCAGTGTCGCCTGTTAGCCATATGAATGAGCGATCAGTCCAGTTGAGTCTTAGACAACTTCTGTCTTAGACTGGCTTCTCCAGCGAAACAAAACCCGTGAAGTTTATCGCTGTTTGTACAGAGAGAGAGAGAGGTATCTCCAGGAAATGGCTCATGCCTCTGTAGATGTTGGACTCTGCCTGGCTTGAGATCATGATAACATGGTGTGGTGACAGAGGACATGCAGGAGTTAAGGCGATCTGGAAGGTGGGCCCAGGGACGCCCTACTCTAGTACAGGGGCAGGAATGTTCTTGAGAGATGATCCAGGCCAGGCTGACTAATGACTAAGGACTAGGAAGTATTTCAAACTGCATGCAAAGCATGTGTAAACGAGCGTCCAAGACCATGAATGACACGTGAGGGACGAAGCCCAGTTCATTGTGGCTTCAGAGCAGTAGGGTATGCTCCCCTGCATTTTCCACGGGGCTTTACTGCTTCCCAAGCTCTGCTTGGTCCCCACAGAGCCTGAGTGGATCCCCAGCATCACCCAGTGCCTTTCTTTTCTTGGGGATGGACAGTCTGCAGTCACTCACTGAGAGCAGGGCCTGCTGGGACTTGGAGTGCTCAGGTGAGCATAGGCCTGAGAATGGTGGTGAATCCCTCGGTCGTGTCTGCAGAGCTTCAGACAGTGGCCCTGCTGGAGACAGTGTCCTCACAGGTGCCTGCAACAAGTGATTCGGTGTCAGTACCCACAAGAGATGTCTCTGCCGCTCCTGAGGCGGCCCACGTGGAGCGCAGCCAGCTACCCACTCCCTGCAACCTCAGACAAGTGGGCAGGAGCTTGGTACATGAATCAGCTGCACTTTCAGGGACTTACAACTTCCAGGAACAACTGAGCCCCTAAACTCTGGTTCCCCACACTAGTACCCCCGAAAAAGGAATCACTAACTCAACCCTGAGTTACGTCGTTGAAGCTCTGCCCTTGTTCTTCCGCTGGGTTTCCTCTGGACCTTCCTCTGGACCTCTGGGCTACCCAGCATCTGTGCCGTCCTACAATCCAAACCCCAAACCCTAATTCATCTCTCAGGATCCAGTTCTGCTGTCGCCAGCTCCGGAAGGGCTGGGCCGCCTCCCCGCGGTATCTTCCTCCTCCCTCTGTGCCTCCTTAGCCCGCGCTCCCACAGCGCGGCCCGCCCAGGTCTGAGTGTCTGCAGAGTCCGGGTGAGGAGGGCTGGGTGTCTCCCGTGAGAGTGTCAGCCCGGCCCGGAGGTGGCGTCCGAGAGCGCTTGGTACTGTTGAATTCAGTCCAGCCCAAGAGGGGTTAAGGAACCCGGGCCCTGGAGGCTCCGCCTTCGGAGCGCACCAATGGGTGTGTGGGGGGAAGCCTCTTCGGCTCCGGCTCCGGGTTCTTACCCCGGACCGAAATCAGGGCCTGGACCTAGGTAAATATTCAGGTTAGTGGTTCTCCGGAGCAGACCTTGCGGCCACTGGGTTCTGCATTCGTGCGCAATTCTCGCCTAAGAACGCGCTTAGTCCAACCCGGGGATTCCCCTGTCGCCGCACGCCCCCTGACGTCACGGAGTCCCCTGAGGACCCGCCCCATCCCGGCCACGCCTTCCTCCGCCCGCGGCGCTCGCGGTGCGGGCTGGAGGGAGGGAACGGCCATGGCTGGGTCCCGCGTCCCTAGCGGTCCCGATACTCCTGTCGCGCCCTGGAAACGCCACATTGTGCTGCAGCTGCGGCAGCGCGATCGCACGCAAAAGGCACTCTTCCTGGAGCTGATGCCAGCCTGTGAGTGCCTCCCAGAGGGGCTTAAAAGATCACCCCGGGTGGGGGTGGGGAGTGGGGAACTGACCTCCGGCCGCGGGTGGGCAGTTTGACCCCTCTGGTCGTGGCCCTAGCACACCATCGCCTTCTCACTTCCATACGCTTGGACTGGCTCACACTGTCTGGCACTCTCCACCCAACGGATCAGAGTTCTTGTTCTTACTTTTTCCAGGCTCAGCTTGGCGGCTGCCTTCTGTACACACACCCTCCACTCCCCCTCTGCCAGGCTGACCCCTCCCCGTGTTCTTGCTCCCATGGTTCCTTGGGACCAGCCCGGCCCTAACCCCCACATCCTGGACCTTCTAGATGAATTCAGCAAGTGTAGGTTTTGTGTCATTGTTTGGGGCTTGCCCGCCCTGGCTCCCAGGATCAGGCCTGACCACTCCATTTGGTCTGCACAGCCGGTGGAAGACCGGTGGGACTGCCCAGACGAGCCCCTTGTTGGCTGGTCAAGAGGATGAGAGAAACTTCGGTTCTAGGGAGGAAGCTCTGTCTCCTGAGGTGGTTCTGGTGCAAGTTCTGGAGCACTTCCGGACAGGGACCTCAGGGTGCCCTGCGGTACAAGAAAGAGGGAGTTGGCTGAGCCTGGGCAGCTTGTCAGAGGGGGTGTGACTAGTCCAGGAGGGATAAACAGGTGTGCATTTGTGTTCAGGGCCTCTGGCTACCTTCACTTCACCTGAAATTGTATCTTGTAGCTAAGTGTCAGGTCAGGTTGATTCCAACTCATGGTGAGAGTAGAACTGCTCCCTAAAGTTTCTGGGACTGTCAGTCTCCACAGGAGAAGACAGCCTCATTTTTCTCCCAAGGACTGGCTGGTGGGTTTGAATCACTGATCTTTTGGTTCACAGCCCGATGCTTCTTCCACAGTGCCACTGACTCTACTTGATCACTAAAGTCAACCCCCCAAACCCATTGCCGTATTAAGGCGATTTCAGCACACAGTGACCTGCTACAGGGTTTCCATGGCTGTGAACCTTTACAGAAGCAGAGAGCTTCATTTTTCTCCCAGTGGGTTTGAACCGCTGACCGTGTGATTAGCAGCCTAAGGCATATTGGGCTTCTTTTCTGCAGCTGCTTGGCCTCTCCTCTTCTTCCCACTCCGTCTTCCTATCCTGGAACTGAGTTTGAAGCTCTTGTCTTGGAAGTTCTCTCCACAACTTCCCCGAGTGCTGGCCCTCTGGGCTCAGGGTGTGAAGCTAGCCCCTTGCCTCCCGGCAACCTCCCTTTGTTGCTCTGGTGGACAAAGGAACCATCCAATTTGAGGGAGGAGTACACAGCCTCCTCTCCCATGGTCTGGGGAAGGCTTTGTGGTCATGATGGGCAGGTCATATCCCTCGGCCTGATTTCTCACCTGTACATTGGGGCAGCAATACCTTCTTCAGAGCAGTTGGAGGGCCAGGGTAGTGCCCCGGGGGCCTAGTAAACTGAGGAACCAGGCCTGGGCTTACCCTCCTTAGCCTTAGCCCAGAACTGGTATGCAAACAGGAAGTGACCATGGATGGGCGTGGAGGGGGTATGTCCATTTAGGTGGTCGAAACTACCCAACTTAAAGAGCTCTGCTGGATAATTCCTAAAGATTTTCTACTCTAGCCTAGAGGTGGGTGGGTGGGGGGAGCCTTTCACAGAGTCTGGATATCAGGATGCCTTTTCAGTCCACAAAGGTAGAGCCCCTGGAAGTAGATTGCCCAAGATCACAGGTGGGTGGAGCCCAAGCTGTTTCCTCACTCTCAGGCCTCCCCAGGGGCCCAAGCCCTGCCCTAGGGCAGTCAGTCCTGCCCTCAGGATCCCCAGCAGGCAGTGCCCAGACATCTCCTTCTCCAGCAGGGGTTGTCTTGATATTTGAGGGTGCAGGGTGGGTCTGAGGGTTAGTGCTTTGAGGAGGCTGTGTCTTGAGACTGTGTGGGATTGCACCAACACCCCCAGGCCGGCCCAGCCCTTCAATAGCTGGTGTTCCTGCCCGCTAGCAGCGGGAGAGGTGCCCTGTATGCCAGAGCTTTGCTGGGAAGGAAGGGTCTGTCTCAGCCCCAGGTCCACTCTCTGTGCCCCCAGACCATCGCCTCCTGGAGAAGGCAGAACTGCTGGCCCAGTTCTCAGAGAAGCTGCAGCCAGAGCCGAACGATGTCACTCCCATCACCCACCAGGGCCCCTGGTGAGTGTATGTGTGTCCGTGGTTACAATGGACTGCCTGTGTCTAGGCCCTGCCCCCACGGCCTGTGCTGGGTTCATTCGCTCCCTGGTACCTCATTGGGTCCCTGGCTGCTGCCCAGGGACGGGGGAGGCAGCCTCCCAAGGTGCCAGGCCAGTTACTTAGCTGCCCTTCTTTCTCCCCAGCGTACCTCAGTCCAGCTCTGCATTCGCCCTGTCCACCCTGTCCCCATGCCTCTTTTTCCCTTTTATCTGGCTGTCTTGCTCCCTGCCCCTGGCCTGCTGAAGGGGACTTGCTCCCTAGTCCAAAAAAAGGGTGAAGCTGACAACCACGACTGGGTGGGGACATGAGATTGGGAGCAGATGGTTCCTGAGGTGGTCCTTGGCCAGGGAACCCCAGAGCAGCTAGCTTCTGGAGACTTGCACTCCCCCGTACCCCCCCACCCTTGTCGGCTCCCCTTCCCCTGGAGAAAGTGATGAACTCTTGTTTCAGACTTCATGCCATCACCTTGGGCCCTGGACCATGAGCACCATTCTCTGATTGGTTGGCAGGGAGGAGTCGGGGCCTGCCTCAGACCAAGTGCCATCACCAGCCACTCTGAGAGTGAAGTGGCAAGAGGAGGAGCAGGGGCTCCAGCTGGTCTGTGGTGAGGTAGGCTGGGCAGAGAGAGCATGGGGAGGGCCCAAGAAGCAGGTCTTTGGAGGGGATGTGGTCCACGGGGGCCAGCAAGTGAGCTGTGCTGTTTACACCCCCCCCATGGGTGCAGCAATCATGGAGTGAGCTCTAGCAGTGTACCAGGCTCTGGGGCATGAGTGCCCCATCCCTGGTAGGCTCCAGCTGCAGCTGAAGGGTGTGCACTGGGCCTAAGACCTCCCTTGCCCCTCCCTGGCCCTCTGCTCATTCCTCACCCCTGGTTCCAGAATCCCAGGGCTTAGCCCTTAGGTGATACTCCATAGACAACTGCAAAAGGTGGATCAACGGGGCTCCCCCTATCTCCAGAGCATGGTGCCACTGTTCTGAACCTCCTTTTCCTACTTTAAGTACGGGCGTGAGTTTCTTGGAGTGCCCAGGCTCTGCCTACCTGCTCCCAGGTTGGGCACGGAGTCCAGGCTTCAGGAACAGCCTCTTTCAGACGGTCATCTCTAGCCCAGCCTGCTGTTCACTGCTCGACCCCTGCCCACTTGATTCTGGGAAGCTGAATCTAAAACCAGTCTCTCCTGTAAGATGACCCCTGTGCACTGAGAGATGATTGGCCAGTACCAGGTCAAGCGTGTGCTCCCCCAGTTCAGCTTCCACCCTTTATGGGCACAGAGGAGGAGATGGAGACCTCTTAGGGTGGCTGGAGTAGCAGATATGCCAGAGAGGGGCTGGGGGGGCTTGGGATAACCCACGGAGATGTCTGTGCCCACCTGGCCCACTCCTGTAGATGGCTTACCAGGTGGTGGAGAGGAGGGCGGCCCTGGGCACCCTGGAGTCGGAACTGGAGGCGCGGCAAAGCAGGTGAGGCAGGGTGGGTGGGAGAGACACTCATCTCCCAGAAGCTCGGGGCCATGGGGGTGGGGGACATCTGTGCAGGTGTGACCCCACGTGTCTCCAGAAGGGTCCCAGAGAGTTCCCTACCCTTCCAAACACGCCCTAGACACCTATGGCAGGTCTCGGAAGAGCCGAACGGCGGGGCTCTGAGGGTGGAAGGCTTGACCGCAGCCTTAGCTTAGCCACTTCGGTTCGGTCAGTCTATCTTGGCCGCGAGACTGGTGACGA